GCAAAATTTTTGTTAAGACCATGTTTGAAACGTAACTCAACCTCTCCAAGACCAAGGTCGATCAGCTCGGCCAATTACGAAAATCATCGGCCTTTTCCGGGTCAACGCTCAGGTCTAGTAGAGTCACCGTAAATCAACGCGAGTCAGTACATCACGGTCTGTCGTATAGCACGTTTTGAATGGAATTCAACTCTGTTTAGACCACAGTACATTAGCGTCTATTAACTTGGCGATAGAAATTCAGTAAAAGAAAATCACGTTATTTATTGACCATTCAACCAGTGACTCCCAGTGCTAAAACTATAGACAATTAATTTAATTCAGTACGATCAACAAGTGACAAGGTGTTTTTGTAAATTTGACAAAGCATGGTTCGAACTCGAGAATAAATGCACGTTGATATTAGGTCAAGACTCTCAACCATTATTTCACACCGACGATCCTCTAACCTCCCAATTCACCTTAAATCTAGTTCCTCACCAAACAGACCATTTTTATAGAGAAAATAAAGATCTACAAAAAAGTTTATAATGAAAATTTGGCTACCACCCACAGATTCGGAGATATTCATCAAAAACCCAGCTGAGGGCTATTGCGTTGAGCGCAGCAGGAGGTTTGAATAAGTTGCGCATGGCGCCAAACACGTGACTCATGACACTGGTGCAGGGAGGGTAACAGCTGACGCGTTGAGTCGACTGCTCCGAAATTGCTATTATAATTTATAATAAATTAACGGTACATTTTGGGCTATAAGTTCCCAACTCCCCCCGATAGGAAATTTTCTCAGCTACAAAGAAATATTTTTTTTTCCATCTGGTGAGGTTAACTAAAGATATCTAGGATTGAAGACGGCCTGTCGCCAATACCCAATTATTTATAACAAATTGTGAATCACCCTGGCAAATTTGAGCATATACTTTTTAAAAAATTAATAATTACACTTTTAGCTATCGACTGATGTAATTTGGTGCCCTTTGGTTAATTTCGATATACAAAATCTAATTTGACTGGACTATAAGATAGTCTTCTCTACCCCCATTTCATCGAAAAAAAAGTATCCCTCCACCATTGATAGTATTCTATCTGAACAATTATCCCCACAACAATCGATCTTAACCTCACTTTTCATGTAAACCGTCAAGACAAGGAACGAACGAGAATTTTTTCCTCAATCGACTGTAGGTAGAAGGAATTAGAGAATATTATCGGTTTTGAGCAGCGTCTAACGTCATATTCGCCTCTTTCAAGGCCGTTCTTCTCGTACAAGCAATATAGCACAACGCGTGGGTTTGTCGATCTGTGCTGAGCACCTCATGCGCCAACTGAGCGCCAATATAAATATGAAGATGAATAGAAATTAACTCAATTTTGTAATCAATGATTTCTATTGTTTTTTTCAAACATGGATGGAAATAGAGAGAAAATAGCTTGATAATTTTTACTAATATGAAGGATTTCGTTTTCGAATATACATATTCTCTATATATTCTTCGTCAATTTAAATCAATTCATCCAGTCACTATCAATTCAGTAATTGATTAATAAAATCATGAATAACGAAATATATTCAGACAGGAGATTTGTCTGAAATTTTTGTGTTGGAATGGAGTCAGCTGTTTGACGCAGAATACGTCTGAAGAGTCAAATGTCTGAATCACTTCTAAAAAACTGAATTTCAGACGCAAAAAATATCTGAAAATAAATGTGTGAAATTTTTCCGACAAAAAAAATGTTTGAAGCGTTTTCAGATACAAATTGTATTTGAAATTTTCAAGCATCTAGACCATTTTGAGACACTTATGATGATTCAGATCTTTTTTTTCCGTCTGACATCTGAAATTTTGATGAGTGTCAAACACACTGTTTTTGCAGCGTTTTCCTCTCTCGTTTGACCCTTGTCATCGCTCCCCTGATCTTCGAAGCCTTAACGGCTCAAATCCGCGATATAATTGGATCCACGAGACAATTTCCCTACGTAATACTTACCACTCATCTCTTTTATATACACGTTACCTTCGATCCACCGCAAAATCTTCCTTGCATCTACGGTAAAAAATGGACCTACTGCACACCATTCACTCACTTATATGCACGGTAAAAAAAAATTACTTTATATCCACGGTGAAAATCTTCCCTATAGCCACGGTAAAAATGGGCCCGATGCACACCACTGATTTACCTTATATCCACGGTAAGAATTACCATTTATCCACGGTAAAAATGGGCCTAACGTACCCCACTGCTTACCTTATATCCACGGTAGAAATTACCGTATATCCACGGTACAATATACCCTATATCCACGGTAAAATTTACCGTGGACCGTGTAAATAGACACTACCACAAAATTTACGTTTACTTTGTTTGGGAAAATCAACTCTGAATAAATTCCTACAAGGAACTGTTGAGGAAGATGGGGGAGAATAATAATAATAATAAAAAAAGAAAAATGTTGAGCTTGAAAGTGACTCTGGAGAGTCTATATTTCGAACGAAATTGATTATAATTTCAAACTTACAATTGTTGGTTCCTGGTAATCCCAACTGGTACACAATGCTGGATTTTCCAACTTAACTAAACACACACACTTTTTGTCACAAGGACAACACAAAAAGAAATATACCTTTGTCTCGAAGGACAATACACAAAGAAATAAAATTTTGTCTCGAAGGACAAGGAAGGTCTTGATGACTGAAATTTTGACTTGAAGAGTCACGGTGGAACTGAGAAGCAAACCGACGCGGAAGTGGTATTGCTCCCGAAGTCTGAGGGTGTGTCCTCAGATACGAGGAGGGAAAATTCGGGGACCAATGGTCACTGACCTTGGGGCCCGACTTTTCATACCCCGTACTCCAGTCTCAATGTTTCAGGGCTAACTCCGACCCCTCCACATCGGACGTTGAAAATGTGGGCAGATTTTTCCAACCCCAAATTACCAGTGAGGATTGTTTCGGGAGGTCCCATTTTCTCCTACCACAATCCTCGACTTTTTCTGTTAAAATATTTTTCTAAACAATTACTACTTTTAATTTCTAAAGTTTATATAAAAATAAAATACAATAATATATATATAATGAAATAGGTATAATTTAACTATTTATCTTAACAATTAATCTCTCGTTTATTTCTAATTAATTAAATGGAATGAATTTTGGCTCTTGATTCAACCCAACTGATCCTGATAAAGGGAAAACTCGAAATTCATATATTTATTATAATTCGGGTTGAGTCAAGAATTAATAACCAAAGGAAAACATTACATGAATTGATGGGGGAAAAACCCGAGTCTTAATGCTCGAATAAAATTGAATAAATTGACGAATTGATTAAATGGATTCAATCCGAAGCAGGAATATTATTTATTAAAATTGATGCTAATCCTTCTTTTGAGTTACGATGATTCAAAACTATAGGTTTGAATCATCATAACGAAGAGATTTTTATATTAAAATGATTGTTAAAATATTCCCAACGGGATGAGACAAAATTTGTAAACTTTAAAGAACAATTTTTAAACATTTTTTAAAATTGTCAGCAAGATTTATTATTTCCTGTTGCTGAGAGAAACTCAAGCGAACCCCTCATAAATTTTTAGAAAGTTGGAAACTCAATTTTCGGTTTTCTGACGGTCTGGAACGTGAAGCAAAACAGACCCAATGCTAAGAAATAAAAATTTTAAGTTTTCCCAAATGTACTAATTCCCCTGACACGTCATCGAACTATCGGAGGACAATAGAGATAGGCTGGGGCGTGCACTTGGTTCGCATTTGGCCGGACAAGAGCATGACCCATGTCTATCACTTTACGACCGGATTTTCGGAGAAAATGTAGTTTTGAAAATGTTTCGTACAAATTTACGATTTGCAGCTGGCTCTTGGCCTTCAAAAATAAAGAGAAATTCGACACGAGAGAGAATTCTAAATTTCAACGGTTTTTCAGTTAAAATATTATTTCGTTTGAAATTAAAGAAAATTAATATTTAATTGGATTTTCGACGGATGTCACACTAATAAATAAATAAATTGAAAAAATAGTTAATGACAATTTTTTTTTGCTTGAATTGCGTCAAACCGACGTTTTTCGACTGTTTCACTTTGCCTGCTGATTTGTTTTGCCCCACTCTTCACTGTTTTTTCAAAATTTTTGAAATTGTTCTTTCTTCTTAACAAATGAAGGGAGATTAACGTTCTGTTCAGAGGAAATAGGGAAGATGTGGGGAAGGAAGATCAGAAATAAATTTAATAAAGCGATTTTTAAATGTTGAAAATTTCAAAACGTTTTTTATTGAATATTAAAAAAAACAATATTTTTTTTTTCTATGATCTAATTCTGATGGAAGAAAGTGAAAAGAGGGAGAGAAAAGTGATCAGCACGAAAACAGAATTTTCATTCATTCAATATCTAGGGAAAATAAAAAAATTGATTTATTTTTGTGAATAATGAACACCTATCAATTCAATTCCTATCCTCACCTTTTCATAGCATACATCGAAAAAAGCAAACAATTTAAATCGGCGATCAAAAATTTTATTCGATTATTATTATGGAATAATGCTAGATGATTTTTATTGGCCTCAGAGAAAAGAGGGATAGCTGCTTGAGGCAATAAAATATTTCAGTCCAAAATCTCAATTTTTTTACTATGTTCCCTACACTCTGAAAATTTTTTCAAGTGAAAATCATATAACACGAGTGCTGACGGGATAAAGATGATATATTTATCTTTCAAATTTAAAATTATTAATGAAGAATCTTCATTAACGCACGCTGATAAGAAATCTTCTATCAATGGAAGTAATTGAAAAAGGTCAAGATTGTGATATGCAAATTCTACTCTTATCATTTAATTCTAAAAATATTAACTAATCAGCAGTTACACTAATTGACTTTCTAGATGATAAATGAGAGCTCTGATTTGGGTTAAAAAAACGAGAGGAAAATATTTCGATGTAGAATTCAATCTCCTTCAATTTGCAATTTTTAACTTCTGTTATTTGTAGAATTATTTGCGGTCTCACAGCATTTACAACCAAGCAGCACATAATACGAGCCTCGTTGGAAGCTGTCTGTTTCCAGACAAGGGATATTTTGGAAGCTATGAATAAAGACTGCGGGTTTCCGTTAACGAAACTCCATGCCGACGGAAAAATGTCTACAAATAATCTACTGATGCAGCTCCAGGCCGATCTATGCGGTATACCTGTGTGTGAGTATTGCCTCGAAGTTAATGGGATTTTCAGATTGCACTTGTTCTTCATTTACAAAAAATATTAAAAAAAGTATATCTCATGGAATATTCCAAAATGTCTATAATATTTGTTGTTCATTTTCGTAATGAAAATAATCACGAATGGAATAATAAAATCATTTGGAGTAAAAAATTATCGATAGCAAACCGCCACAGAAGCAAGTTATTTATTTTAAGAAATTCATGGAATTCATTTAATTTCAGTATAAGAATTCTTACAATTCAGTAACAAAAATCTAATTATTACTCATATGTAATAAAGTTTTAAAATCAAGCACCGTCGGGTTCTTCAATTAAGCACCTTGACCTTCTGAAACGATAAACTTTTGGAATGGTTAAAATTCTGCAATAATTGAACATTCATTTAACATTAATTGAGGTATTAGGTGATATACTTTGAACAACAAATGGTTTTTTCACATGAGTAGATTAATTTATGAACCTAAATATTTTTGATTGAAGAACCCCAAGCTTTTATTTAAAAAACCCAAGAGTTCTGAATTGCGGAACCTTGATTTTCTTGTAATGACAGAAAATGTGCCTTCATTAAAGTACAATTATCCTAAATTTTGGTAAAAATTACTGAGCATTTGACCTTCTTTCTCTGATTTTTAGACATAATTGTCTTAGAATAAGTGGAAGATTCACTTAACCCTGGCGAATCTGTCGATTGTAGAATCGAGTTGATCAGTGTATCGATTCGTATGCGAGTGTAGTTCGATTCAGATCTCAGATTATTGATGGAATCAAAGATGAATCGACTTCATAGGAAGTCGATAGCTAGTGAATTTCGAATGACAAAAATTTATTGCACCAAAACTTGAAGGATTCATGGGGTGGTCGATTATGAAAGACTGCTTACGGTCCGACCAGGATCGACTTGAAGAAAGTCGATTGTGACTCGATTGCCCACATATTATTCACATCAATCGACCCACAATCGACCAGTTGTTGAGTCGTTTCATATAAGTGAATAATATGAAGTCAATCGAGTAATAATCGACTCAAGGATCAGTCGATTCGCCCACTGGAATTATGAGAACTATTATGAAACGACTAAACAACTAGTTGATTGTGGGTCGATTGACTTGAATAATGAGGACAATTGAGTCACAATCGACTCAAGGATTAGTAGATTCTCCCACTGAAATTATGAAAACTATTATGAAACGACTAAACAACTGGTCGATTGTGGATCGATTAACTTGAATAATGAGGACAATCGAGCTACCATCGACTTGGCAGCGAGTCGATTCATTTATTAAGTATAAGAAACTAATATGAAACGACTGAATAACTTGTCGATTGACTTGAATAATGTAGTATCGGGAATTTTTCAGTGTATATATGTATATTGTTTGTGGGGAAGTACCTTCCAATGTCGCGACATTCTGTCCAGGTATTGGGGAACTACGTCGCTTTGTAGTAGAGTAGATTTATTATAGGGTACGATTAAGACGAGCGAGTTGCAGTATTTTTAAGAGTAGAGTTGTAATATTTTACTATAGACACAGCTGTAAATATTGTTTGCGGGGAACTACCCGAGGATTAGTCTAGACATTGGGAAACTACGTCTCTTGTATTAGGTTAAGTTTATGATAGGTAACCTTAATTACTAAGACAGCTGCGAGTAATGACAGTGGGGCCTGCCGCACGTCGACGACGTCACGAGAGGGAGAGAAAGAGAGTGAGTGAGAGAGGGAGAGAGAGAGACAGAGAGAGAGAGACAGAGAGAGAGAGAGAGAGAGAGAGAGAGAGAGAGAG